CAAGGCCGACAAAGCACAGAGCAAGCAACATTCAGATAAAAAGGAACAATCTCAAGCAAATCCGTTCTCATAGAGAGAAACTGAACTAGCATACAGTACTAAACTCATACTATCAGGCATAACCTAAACAGGCTATCTTACTACTGTGTACACAATTCTAGCATGCAATTATCATAAGCTGAAGCACATAAAGCACGCGCATAAGGCATCACTCCTAGATCGTTAGTCCTATTCTAGTATGTTGTTCTACTGAAACTTTTAAACATGACATAAACTTGTATGGGTACTTTGGGGAATACTTACTTGTGCTTGGTCGGTCGCGCACATCACCCACTTCGTAATTTTCCCAAAACTCTTTAGTTTACCTTTTAGGAAAATCATTTTCTTAGAAAATTCTTTTATTCCTTCGATTTGAGTCCAGACACCCCCGAAGGTGTGTCCGAATCCCTCAAACCAGGGCTCTGATACCAACTTGTAACGACCCAATTTTCACGTTCAAAAATTTCATTTAAAATTAGTGATTTACAAAACATTTCTAGCAAAACATCATCTGATCATATAAAACATTTCTCGTGTCTGAAAACTAAATAATAAAACAACCATAATGTTAGAGTACAAATCCCAGAATAACTCATACTGCGGAAAACAATGGGTGTGTGTATGATGTGCTGCTACCGCGCCAGCTCCTTCCCCTTCGCTGAAGAGGTACGTGAAACCAAACTGAAAACTGTAAGCACGAAGCATAGTGAGTTCCCCTCACCGTACCACATACCATACAATCATATATCATACATACTGCCAGTCAATTCTGGGGTGCCCCACCTACCCGGTACGTCCATTCTGGGGTGCCGACCCACCCATGCGACCATTATGGGGTGATGTCCTACCCCCGTCAAGCCATTCTGGGGTGCTGACTACACTTCGGTCCTAACAACCGAACCTCGGGGACTATTCCACTCCCTACTACTACTACTATCACATATCATAGCATAATAGATTATCAGACATATCTAGGGTGTCTGAACTACCCTTCGGTCCTAACAACTGAACTCGGGGACTGTTCCCCTCCTACTACCTCTAACACATATAACCGATCATGCCAGCATATAAACATAACATCACATTCTGTTAGACGTATCTGGGGTGTCTGACTACCCTTTTTGTCCTAACAACCGAAATCTACTACTATCACGTATAACATATCATGCTAGCATATAACATATCAGGTAGTAGCAAACCTAGATGAATATCACAAAGACAATCATCTAACATACAACTCTTACTGGTGGGCCGACATTGTGGCCGTAGACCCACCACTACTGGAAGGTAACTCACCTCGAAAAGTAGTTGTTGAAAGTCTGCTTGCTAGACGTCTGACTGCTGAACCAGTAATCCTCTGGATAAATATCCAAAAACATAGATTAGACACTCATAAATACCCTTAGGTCAAATGACTGACCCACCCCTGGTCCAAGGTCAACTCCGTGGTCAAAGTCAACTTCCAGTTGACTGAACTCGCCGAGTCATGGCACAGACTCGCCGAGTCCCTCTCCTACTATCCCGGTACTAACTCATCAAGTCCCTCTTCCCACTCACCGAGTCACCCTTAACTCACTACTTGGGACAATTAGACCGACTCGCAATCCGACTCACCGAGTCGAAGAAAAACTCGTCGAGTCCCCACGAGCAGATCTCCTACTCGCTTCCAAATCCTCACCAGAGCATCCTTTATGAGGATTTGGTTTTTTGGGACTATTTCTACACGTTAAATTGCTAATTCCGTGTGCAGCTACGAAGGGTTGGACCTTCTACACTTAAACCCCTTTTACTCAGTAACAGTTCATATGACTCGCCGAGTTTGAAGAACAACTTGTCGAGTTCCAGGCAATCTTCATAGGACTCGCCGAGTGGTTCATCCAACTCGCCGAGTCTGAGGCCATCTTCATAGAACTCGCCGAGTCCACTTTGGGAACTCGCCAAGTCCCTTCAGCCCTTCTCTCATACAGACCAAATCCGAGACATGCAACGCTTCTAAATCATAGATCTAGGTTCCTAGGGCATGCTTATCACGTAAAGTTGCAAACTTTATGAGGTCATACACTCCATAAGGACCTTAATCACTTCAACCACAGAGACTTTAGACCCCTAAGACGTCCATAAGGTCCAGATTTGAAGTCCTTTAAGAACATAGAGCATAAACACATGGAGTTCGAGGTTTTAGGGATTGAAAACCACCAATTAGGGATAAAAAGGGGATCTAATGAACTAGTGATCAAGGTAGGGACTTTTTACCTGATTGGAAGCTTCTCACAGTGTAGATTTAGGATCTACTTCCCTTCCTTGCACTCTTCAACCTCCTCCTTCTTCTTCTAAGCTCCAACCTCCTTCACAAAGCCAAGATCACTCACAAGAACAATATGGGTTCTAGGGTTTTGCTCTACAGCTCTCTAGAAGTGTTAGGGACAAGGGAGGCCGAGTTAGAGCGTTTAAATAGGGTGCAAACACCCTGGTTAGGGTTTTACTCGTCCAACACGGACTCGCCGAGTCTGGGACGCTACTCGCCGAGTCCCTTGATCAAGTCACGTGTCAAAATCGCTCCTACTCGGCGAGTCGGGCCTCCAACTCGCCGAGTCCAAGGCAAAATGAGAAAAAATTACATAAATAGAAATCGTACCAGGAATCCGGTTTTACAGAAGTGTTTCTTTTGATACGAATCTGCACTAACTCTTGAATATTTGTTTTGTCATGGAATGGTCCTTGACAAGAGAAATATATATGTCAAGAGGATAGTGGGAGTCTTATAGATCTTGAAAAGGTTTCAAGAACTAATCAAGAATAAAACTTGTTGTTTATCACTAGCACACGACTTGAGGTTTGTAACCTATCGTGTTGACATATTCTTGTTTCCGTGCTTATTCCAATTAAATGTTGACTATGCATGTGAGGTCTATGAGTTCTTAATTGTTTACATGACAACTTGGAAGACATGGTAGGCCCTTGTGCTACTAAGTGGCAAGAAATTAAGATTAAACAAGTTCAGTCCATATGAGTTTGCATTTGTCACTAGCATTGTCTTGTGATTATGGTTTTGAAAAATTCTCATTGATAGGAACACATATACCATAAAATCTAAGTAACATAAGGTTTCACTCCGATTCATGAAAATGATGGTGAGGAAACGCTTTCACTAAGTAGATTTTAAATAGTTAACAATTGTGATGATTGCATTCTCAAATTCAATTATGATTACAACATCCATTTTTATAATTCGGATTGTGAGAAATGGCAAGAGGTCTAAACATTATGATTACGACATCCCTCTTCATAATTGTTTAGACACACATGTGAGCTATCTAAAGAAAGTTGTATGAGTTTGAGAAGCCTAGATAGAGTCTTATCAAAGCATATCATATCAGAAATCTGAACTTTGGTATGAAAGTCAATAAAATATTGATTTCTAGAAGTCCAACTGATTTCTGGATACATGTCAAAGCTAGTGCAATCATAAGGGTTATGCTAATAATTATCATGTTAGTGGGGGCATGATTATTATATTAAGTATTGCAAGTTAGCAATGTTAATTATAGAAAACAAAGTTTCAAATTTGCAAAGATGCAAAGTTTGGAAAAGTTGTTTTGCTATAATTAAGAGAGAGTGAATTATACTTCATTCCAATTCTAAAAGCTTAGATTGTGAGATTTTAATCAAATTTAGTCAAGTATATATATGAATGTTATGATGGAATGGTTCAACATAAGGAAATTCTATATATGAGAATATTATTTGCGTTATAAAATTCAATTATGATTACAACATCCCTCTTCATAATCTGAATTATGAGAACATGACAAATAGAAATAGAAATATTATAGCAAAAAACTGGTTTGGTATCATGTCTTTATGTGATAACATACAAAATTACGATAAAATATTAAGATTTATTCACGACCAAATATTAATAAAATATAGTATAACTATATTTTAACTTTTATAACAAAATTATTCTATAAGTCGCTTGTAACCCCCAAAAAAACTAATGTGTTTTTAAGACACAAAAGGTATTTTATAAACAAAAAAAATCCGCTAAGTTAAGCTTGCAAATTAACGAATTCCCTTAAAATCACAAATAACTTGTAAATGTAATTTACTTTTGTCATTTAAATTAACAAACAATATTTTTTTGTAAATAAAAACAAACATAAATGAAGGTTTGATTTAAATGGTAATAGAAGTTTTAATGTAAAATTAAACCTATTTTAACTTTTATAACAAAACTATTCTATAAATAGCTTATAACCCACAATAAACTAACGTGTTTTTAAGACAAACACTTCAAGAAAGCGAGGTACTCGGCTACAAGAATTGCTGATAATATAATTGTTACATCATATTTATGGTGTAAGCACGGGGGGGGGAGAAAATTTGTGGAAATTGGGTTGATTGAGTTGCTCACCCAAATTTGTGGAAATTGGGTTGATTGAGTTGCTCACCCATTTCCATTTCATAGTTATGTCTTTTCATTTCTTCCAATTTGTTTTATTTTGTTTTTTGAAATCTGTTGAGCACTTGATATTACCTTAGCTTCTTGCTAAGTGCTCTTTATTTATAATATACTCCTTATTTGTCTTTTTAAAAGAAAAAAAAAACGTGTTTTTAAGACACAAAAGGTATTTTATTAACAACAAAATCCGTTAAGTTTAGCTTGCTTTTTTTTTTTTTTTTTTTTTTTTTTTGGAATCGGCAAATATATTAATAAGACCACCCTCTAGCAAGAGATTAGAAGATGGGAAATAACAACGTACAAATAATAAGATTACAGATTACACACAAAGAAACGGAGAACTACACCATACTAACCAATCAATACTTCTATTTTCCCCCTGTTTTTTATCAATAGGTATGTAGTGGATTTGATCATGTCTACACAAATGAGAGCAGGAAGCCGTTTTTTATTGAAAATTATGTTGTTCCTAACTTTCCAAATGTTCCAGAGCATGCCGTCACAGATTCCCATTAGCAACCTTCTTTTTTTTGGAGCAGTTGGACAATGCTTGAGCGTATGTGATCACCTCATGTACTGTTTTGAGTTCTACAAGAGGAACTCTACACCATTTTAGCACTAGTTGTAAAACCGTGCTCGCGTACTTACACCCCACCAATGCATGGTCTACGCATTCCACTACTTCACAGTGACTGCATAATTTTTTTTCCACATCTACCCCTCTGGATAAAAGGCCCAAGGTTGAAGGTATTTTGCCCATTTTAGCCCTCCAAATGAAACAATTGATTTTAATCGGGATCTCCCTCAGCCATGTAAACTGATCCAGGTTTAGTGTGGAGTTGAGGTCTAGTTTTTTCCGGAGGACGTTTACTGTGAATGATCCGTCAACAGTGAGATTACATCTCCATGTTTCACCACCTGGACCTGATTGTTTGTGTAGCAT